CATTATGATTCATAACAGTAGAAAAATTACAGTTATGAAGTAGCAACAAAAATAATTTTATGGTTGGGGGTCACCACAACATGAGGAACTGTATTAAAGGATCACGGCATTAGGAAGGTTGAGAACCACTGTCCTATGGGAAAGGGTACAGATAAATGATGTAAGAAAATGCTGATACTTGAGAAACTACTGCTGTGAATAATAAAGTGCTTTTTCTCTAATAAGGAGTTTCTTATCTTCTGTTAGTGTCCATAAAATGGTGGTGTGCAAACGTTTTAGTTTGTAAATGTGGTAAAATCTCAAGTCCTCTCACCATACTTGACAAGCTATTAAAATAATTAAGAGTTTTGGGAGAATAGAGCTACTCAGAACCCTGTGTGTGAATGGTCCCCACAGTAGACTTTATGAGATACTCGTCCTTAGGCAAATCTATCTCAAAACACTCTGCTCACCTTGAGCCCAACCAGACCTAGGAGAGAACATGGTGTTACAGACCAAGGCCTCTGTGGAATTAATTGGAATACCCAGTGACTAGAACATTCCTTCAAGTGGCACACAATTGAGCATATGTCCAAGATGGACTTATGTGTTTCCCGTGTCTGAAAGAGAATACTGTGCCATCATAATTCCTCATGATTTGATTCATCACAATCTTATGACGGGCCAAAGACACACTTCTAAAATGAGCAAGGTTCACAGTGGTTAGCTGTCAGTCACATGTTTGGTCAAAAACCTTTGAACTAAATTTAGTGATCTATTCAATGAACAGTTACAATAAAGTTAGGATGACATTTAATGGCAAGTTTTAGTTATTACTCTATAATAATGAATAAACAATCTATATAAGTAACTATAATTAGAGTTCTTTTCAAATATTAGTGTCAAGACTGTGTGAAGTAAGGTAAGAAACAGAAAAAAATTTTAAATATTTTTTTTTTTAATGAAAGAGAAAAGTTAGCTGCTCTGAACTCACTCTAAAGCTCTCTGAATCTATATACCTAAACCAAGGAGACTCTGGCAGCTGGCTTACTGGTCTAGATGACCCTAAACGAGGGCTCCGGGAGATGTCATAGGAGGCCAGTCCCAACTCCTGGCGACCACATGTGAACTGGGGTCCATAGAGATTCCAGTAGACAAAGCTTTGGAAGCATGAGTTTGCCAAGGTTTTCTGCTGATGGGCCTCCGGGTGAAGTCAAGCCAGGAACTTTTTAGTTAGCAGGATAGTAGTGAACCATTTGCAGCACCCAGAGACTCTCTTAATTAACAATGAGATTTCAAAATCATCACATCACAAACAATTAATTCTTCATACCTGTAGGGTACCAAGCTAAAAGAAAATCAAATTTCAAAGGCTTTTTTTCTTTGAAGGACCAACATGTTCTTTTATACCTCTTGGAATCCAGATTAATGGATAAATCCATCAAATCAATGGTGACAACTTAAAAAAACAAAAGAAAGAAGGAATATTTTAGTCATATATACACAGCTTCCACTTTGAAAAAAGCATGCTAAATATCCTAATTAAAATAACATCGTATGTTTAATAAAAATTGTTCTGTTTCTCTTGAACTCCCTTCTGTTCACCCAATCGAATTCCCCCTTTAGTGGGCATTTCTAACATAGTGGGCTAAGGAGAGTAGATATTTTAACTCATATTTTTCTAAAGTCAAATCTACCTATGGACAAAGTGGCCTAATTATTAATGTTTAAACCAGACATTGTTACCAGAATCCAATCTCTTCACATGCATCCTGTAATCATAAAGACTTGAGGGGAGAAAAATGTATTAAGAGCAAGCTACAGACACCTATCTTGGGTTACTGCTTTAACATTTTAACCCCAAACAAATATATGCAGTGAAGTATGTCCAATCTTGTCATCTTTAGTGCAGCCTATAGATGGAGAAAAATAAATACAAAATTAATGTCTCCTCTGAAGCCCTTTGGGTTATATAATAGTTCTTAGAATCAGAAGTTTAAAGATAAGAAAAAGTTAAACTCTTTCTGAGCAAAGCGAGTGTGGGCAATTCAAACACTCAAATTTAAATTAGTATAGGAAAATTACTGAAGTTTTAGACTCTGGTAGAGCAAGCCTAATAACTTACTAAATTTCATGACTTTTCTGCCTGAATATTGAGATGGACGACCTTGAAGTCCGGTTTCTTCATAAGTGTCTTTATCCAGCGATAAAATTAATTTCCCTATGAATAAAAAAATTCTTAATTAAAGAGATGTTCAAAATATGACAGTCTCTAAATGAAAGCAAGGCAAATCAAAAGATTCGATGTTAGTATAATTATGTAAAAGGATTTTATTGCGGTGTTTATTTATAAGTGAAATTAGAAAGAATAGTTAAAATACATTATGGTACACCTGGTCTCTGGAGTATGTTCAAGCCACTAAAATTAGTAAGTCAGAACTATATGCACTCATAGAGAAAATGGCTATAGTTCTTGCTTGTTCTATGACAGAAATTTCTTCTTTGGATTTTTTAATATTGTGGGTGGTCTTTTCTTTCTTACTCTTTATTTTTATTATTTTCTTTGTTTCATTTTGCTTTTGGTTTTTTTTTGTTTCTGTTAGGTTTCACAGTTTATGAAGTATAGAAGTAGATGTGTGGTTGGTAAAAAAAACCCTGGGACAAAGGAACAACTAGGATCCAAAATCAATGGCCAGAAGGGCTTAAGCAAGGGCAATGTAGCTGAGAGGAATTACTGAAACTCAAATGAAGGCT